AATAATTAAATATTTTAAAATAAAGTTTTTATTTATAAATTAAATATTTATTAAAATTAATTATGGTTTTGGCGTAAAAAAGTTTTGGAAAGTTTTTTAAATAATAATTTTTAATTATATAAAATAATTTAAAATTTATTACGTTATAAAATTTATAAATTATATTAAATAATATTATTTTTTATAAAATGTTATTTAAATTAATATTAAATTTTGGAATTTTTATTTATATAACGTAATTAATATTATTAAGTTTTAAAAATTAATTGTGGTTTTTTAATAATAAAAAAATTAAATAATATATATAAAATAAATTTTGTTTTTAATATTTAATAATTTAAATAATATTAAAGTATTTACCAAAATATTTTTTTTTTATAATATTATTAAAAAATATATTTTATTTTTAATTAAAAATGTAAATATTAATATTAAATTAATTATTTATAGTTTAATTTAAAAAAAGTTTATTTTTAATTTTTAATCAATTAAAATTAATAATAAAAATAACGAATAATATTAGTTGGTTAAAATAATAAATAATAGTTATTAAATTTTAATAATAATAAAATATAAACCTTTTATTATTAATAAATAAAAACGGTAAATATGTATTATGTTTAATATTAATTACGTTAATATTTTCGGTTAAAATAATATTGTAAAAATTATTTTAAAAAGTTTTGCGTAAGTTTTTTTATTTATATTTAAATTATTTAAAAACGTTTTATTTTATAATAATTTAAATATTAATTAAATATTGTTAAAAAAGTTGATTAAATATAAATAAAATTAATAATTTATATTTGTAATTATAGAAATAATAATAAAAATATTACCGTAAAATTAATTTTTATTTTTTATAATTTTTATTATTAAGTTATATATTTAAATTATAGTTTATTTTTTTATATAATTATATTAATATATAAATAAAAGGTATATATGTTAAATATTATATAAAAATACGTATATAAAAAAATGTAGTTTTTTTAAAACGTTTTATTTGGTAAAAATGATTTTTTTCTATTATTAATTTATTTTTACAATATTTAAAATGATTTTAATAATATTGTTAATAATTAAAAGGTTTTTTTACTATTAATTTATACCGTTTTTAAAAATTATATTTAAATTTGGTTTTAAAATAAAATAAATTTAAATGTGGTTTATTTTTAAGTTTTTTAAATTATTTATAATTTTTTATATTTATTTTTAAATTATAATATATTTTTTAATATATAGATTTTTTGTATATATTTTTTTAAAAATTTATATTAAAATATTTATATTTAAATTATTATTATTTAAGTTTAATTAATATTAGGTAATTATTTATAAATTATAAAAATAAAGTTAAACATATTTAAATCGTTTTATTTTTACTGTTTTTAAAAAGTTAATTATATAATATAAAACTTTTTAAATTTAAAAAATATTTAAATTTAAACTATTTATATTATAATTAATAAATTTATATATAATTAATATAAAAGTAAAAATAAAGTTATATTATTAAATATTTTTCTAAAATTTTCGAAATTTTAAATTAAAATTAATTAATAATAATTATAAAAATTTAAAAAATTTATAAATTTTTACCAATTAAATATTATTATTTTTATAATAAAAATTAAACGTTTTATTTTTTTTTAATTTTTTTTTAAAATGTTTATTAAATTAATAAAATACATTATAAAAATTACATTATTTATTTATAATATTAATATTATAGATTTTTATTTATAAAAAATTATTATTATAAAACCAAATTTTATAATATTTAGTAAAATTTAACTATTTTTTATAATAAAATTATAAAAGTTGTAAAAGTTATGGAAGTTATAAAAGATATAAAAAATATAAAAAATATAAAAAATGTAATAAATAGTTTTATTTTAAAAATTATTAATTAAAAGTTTAAAAAAATTATAAAAAATTATTAAACTTTAAAAATGGTTATTTAAAATATTTATTTATTTTAATTTTATATTACTAAAAATGTTTAAACTAATAAAATATATTTAAATTTTTTTTATTTAATAATTAACCTTTTTTTAAAATATAATGTAAATAATAAATACAATAATATATTTTTATATAAAAATTAACAATTATTTTAAATTATTTATAAATTTTCTTATATTTTATATAAACTTTATTAAAATTATATAAATTTATTAAAAAAGAAAATAATATAAAATTATTATAAATTAATTTTAAATAATAAAAAACTAGAAAAAAAATTAAAATAATTATAAAAATATAATAATATATATTAAAATAAAATAAAATAATAAAAATAAAAGTAATTATTTAATAAAAAAAATATTATAATTAAATTTAATAAATAAAAAAATATATATATTATTTATTTTTTTTTAATTAATATATTTATAATATGTTAAAATTTAAGTTATAAAATAAAATAAATAAATAAAATAAGAAATTATTAAAAAATAAATATATATTTTAATTATTTAAATATATTTTTAAATATAATTAACCTTTTTTAAATACCATAAAATATATATTAAATAATAATAATTAAATTTAAACGTAATTATTTTTTATTTAAACTTTTATTCCGATTTATATGGCATTTTTAGCACTTTTTTAATTTTAAATAATTTATTTTTAATTTTTTAAAAAAAGAAAAATATATTATTAAATTTAAAAAAAAAAAGGTTAAACATAACTTTAATAATAAATTAAAATTATTTTTTTTTTTAAAAATATATAAATAATTATAAATTTTTTTTTTTAAAAATATATAAATAATTTAAATTATTTAAAAAAAAATATATAATTTTATTATTTATTTAAACCGCGTTAATTGATTCTTTTTTTTTAAAAATAAAGATTTTTTTAAAAATAAACATTTTTTTTTAAATAAAAAAAAAACGTTTAACTTTAATAAATATAACAATTGGTTTATTTTAACTGTTAAAATTTAATAATAATAATAATAATTAAATAAACTGTTTAAAAAAAAATTTGTTAAAAAAATTGTTTTAAAAATTATTAATTTTTAATATTATTTAAATTTAAAATTAATAATATTTATTATTAATAAAAGTTTTAAAATTTATAATATAATATAATAATTATTTATTTTATTAAATATATATTTATTAAATTTTTAGTTTAAAAATTAAATTATTAATAATATTTTTGCTAAGTATTTATAAAAAAATAATTTATATAATTTAAAAATAAAACCGTAAAAGTATAGTTTTAATTTTTAAAACGTTATAAATTAACGCGTAATTTTTATTTTTTATTATTTTTTAAAATTTATATTATTATTATTATTTTTAATTTAATAGTTTTAATAATAAATAAATATATTATTATTAAAAATATAAAACTTTTTAATAAATTTTATTTTTTTATACATTTAATAAATTTTAACGTTTTTAAAAAAAAATAAATCTTAATATAAAAAATAGTTTAAATTTTAAAAAATTAAAATTTAAACGTAAAAAAAAGTTATATATTAATAATATAAAAATTTTTTATAATATTTTAATTTAAAGAAATATTAATAATTAAATTTAAAAAATTTAAAATAGTTAAAATTTTTATTAATTAAATAAAAAAATATTTTAATAAAAAAGAAAATTATAATAATATTATTTTAAATCGATTTTTAAAATGAAAATAATAGTATAAAAATTAAAAAAAATAAAATATAAAGTAAAATATTATTAATAAATAATATGATAAAAAAAAAAAAGAAAAAAAAAGATAAAAAGGTAAAAAAATAATTATATACCGGAAAATTAAATTAAAATTATATTATTATAAATTTTAAAAATTATAAAATAATTTATTTATTTTAATTTAAATATTTATATTTTAATAAATTAATAAATATTTATATTTATTTAATAAATTTAACTTTTTTTAAATAATAATTATAAAAATTTATAAATATAATATTAAAATTTTTTAAACATATTTTATTATTAATATAACTATATTAATAAAATTTAAATATTATAAATTATATAATATTTTATATAGTTTTAACGGTTTTTTCCTATAATTAAAATATTAATTTAAAAAAATTAAAAATTAAAATTTAATTAAACATATAATAAATAAAAAAGTAAAATATAAATATATAATAAATAATTAAACATATATTTAACGTAATAAAATTTTAGCTTTTTTACGTTATAATTAAAGTTTAATTTTTAATTAATTAATTATATTTTAATATATGTTTAATAAATTTTTTATAAAATTAATTAAATTATTTTACTTTTAAATAAAAGTTTTAATAATTAATATTATTAAATAAAACGCGTTTTATATAATATTTTTATATTATTTATACTTTTTATAAACTTTATATAATAAAATGGTAAAAAAAAAATTACAAATTATAAAACGATTTTAAATATTTAATTAATCGAAAAAATTGTGGCAATATTAATGAAATATATAAAAGTTAATATAAAAATGATAAATGAAAAAAAAAAAAATTTTAATTTTTTTTAAAATGATATTTTATTTATATACGTTAAATGATAGTTTAACTTTAACGTGGGTTTGATTAAATAACGATAAAATTACGATTTTAAATTTTATTACAATTAAAGTAATAATTATATACATTTCCGATTTTTATATATAAAAAGTATTTAAATATATAAAATGTTTATTATTAATTTACTTGATTTATTTGTGCTCATTTAAGTTATAATTTATAAGATAATTTAAAATTATAAGTTTTATATAAATTTTAAAAACGAAGTAACGATATATTATAACAGTATTTATCGTATAACCCGGATTTTAAAAAGTTATAAAGTTTTTAATATTTCGGCATTTAAAACTTTAAAAAATTGATTTTAACACAAGTAAATTTACAAAAATTAAACATATTACGAATTTAATAATAATATTAAAACACCTAAGTTAAAATTTCTGGACTATTTATATTTTGGAATACAAGTGATAAAAAAGGAACTAATGCATTAACTGTTTAACGAGTCAAGGGTCATACGCGAGCTAGGTTCCAGACATCAATATTTAAAAATAAAAATAAAGTTTTAATATTTCGCAATCAATTTGATTAACTATAGAGCCTATGAGCGAACGGATCATGTAAGGCGTGTATCTCATTCTGTACTTTCGTAGGCGATTGAGCATATTTCTTATTTCCTTTAAAGAAAAAGCCTCGGAAATGCTAATGCAAATGAAGCCGCGATATCGCAATCAAGCAGGCTCAAGTTCCCCATGATGAAGAAAATTCCGATGACCAACTTAGTCCACCAGTCTGGACAAGTGCAGACCGTCCCAAAGAGGGACTAGAAATGTCTCTAAACGGTCGTTATCACCCGCGAGGTCGTTGTACTCGTTAATGGCAGCCACAGCGATGGCCTGAAAGGACTCGGGGTTATCGAAGTCGGCGGGTCGCCAGGGGTTGTCCGGGGTAGTGTCGACAACTAAGCCTTGGCGTAGCGTGTTGTCCGCTGCAATGATGCCACCGGGCCGGAGGAGTCGATTCTTAGCACCTGGAGCCGACATCTCCAGGATCTGGCGTAGGTAGCCGCTGTAGCCCGTCTTGTCCGCGTCGATGAAGATGATATCATAAGGTTCGCTTATATCAGCGAGCTTGGTGAGACTGTTGGTATCCAAGAATATTAGGTTAGTTGTATGCCGTGGAGGGAGAGGAGGGGAAATAGGGTTGCTTACGTCTCAGCGGCAGGACCGACATGTACATCGATATTCTCGTAACCCTGATCCTTCCAAGTCTCCTGTGCCAACTTGGCGTACTCTTCATTGCACTCGAGGCCAGTAACTTTACCCTGAGGACCGACAGCGTGGCTCCAAATCACTATTACGACGTTAGTAATTAAAAAATTGAGAGGATTCGGCCGAGTCTCGGAGTAATTGGTCCTAAGCGAAGTTGATTTTGGAGCACCAACTCCTGAGATGGGCTAAAAGGGGGAATGGATCTGGATATTACATACTAGCCGAGTACCCAACGTAAACACCAATCTCAAGGACTGCCAACTGCGTTAGTTATATTTCAAAGTAAGGTAGACTTCAGTGTGTCATTTATAAACTTACCTCGTTTAGCGCCAATGGCTCGAGCAAGGAAGACAAGGGCCTGAGACTCGAAGGTTGAGATCATATAGTTGGAGTCATCGCGCTCCTTAGAGATTCGGGTATGGTAGTCTTTGATAGGTTGAGGAATCCGAAGTGATTGAAACTCCGAATATGAGGTAACGCGATCACCTAGCACCCTGGTGGCGTAGAGAGACGTGTACCCAGATTTCATATTGCCGGTATTTATAGGTTAAATGATTATTATATTGGTCGGTGTCTAATATAAGATGGTTAGATATCTGACAAAGGTAGGTACCTACCTATTCTTTATGAAGTGAGGAATATAACAATACGGGTAGATACGTACATTGAGGTTGGTGGAGGACTTTGAAGATAATAAGTTGAAGTAAACTCGCCGACCGGTGCTGTAAAGGGAAAAGAAATGAAGAAATTATCAAGACCTCTGGGGTGATAGCGGCACTTAAACGTTGACAGCTGACATGGAATTTGCGAGTTTTGGAAGTGACTCCCTACCGTAGCTACCTTAGGAGGTACCTAACCTACTTATACGTAGTGAGTAATATGGCGTCACCCCCACTAGTATAATACCTGCCCAGGTGGTCATGCACTTGGTCATGATCCTCGGTACATGTATCACGAACCATGCTAACTTAGGCAACCAAGGAGAAAGAGCTCCTACTCTATCCTACACCGATCCCGGAGCCGAAAGCTGAACCCCGTTATTTAGTAGGGTTTATTTTGACAGGCCAAGTCCGACCTCCAGGAGTCATGCAGCCCGGATCAGATAAGATTATCTCCGACTTTGACAGGGGGGAGCCGAGTCTCAATCACTAGTTACACGATGCCTTGTCCCGATTTCTTTTCCTAGGAAGTTATGATCACCAATGTAGGTAGTTTATACAGAACCATACCGTCATACAAATACAACAGCGATGCGGCGCCCGAAAGCTCGTATATCCGAGAGGTTATAACCAAATCTACGTAAAACTTGGTCGGTGTATCCAAAGTTTTATCTAACTTTAGCCTCACCCTCCCTCGCAACTTATATCGCCAGCTGATACATCCATCATCTTAGACCAGACTACATTACATATTAGCGCTTATATCATAAATTAACTCCGACCATCTATGATTTCGGTAGTATTGTGAATTGGGACGTGTCCGACGTCGGTCATGGTGTTCATTGACGTATAGGGTTACAAGAAAAGATACTATGAAAGAAATGGTCGAAGAAATACACTTCTCATACTACCACAGCGGTAATTAGGTAGGGCGATATAGGAGCCGGACATAGCTGCCGTCCACTTTTTGATGAACGGCGCGTTGTTACCATACAATATGTTGATAGGACTGTTAAGGAGGAGAAATAGCAAGAGACCGGCTGCGTATCGCCGGGCAGTGGATCCTCAGTATTCGAATCCTCCTCGGCCTCCGTGTCTTCGCCGGGCTATGGACCGAGCTCTGGGTGGGGTGATTAGGCACTGCTCGACAGATGCGCGCGTTATTCCTCGCTTATACGGTGGATTAGGGGCTCTGCAATATGTAAGACTCGATGGTGTAAGGGTATATAGGGGATGAGGGGCGAACCCACTTTCGAAGCATTGACGATAGCATCCAGACCCTTCGCAACAGGGGAGGTAGATCCCACTAGGCCATAGATAGTAACCAGTATGCCGCTGGTCATTGCGCTTCTCATCTCCAGTAGCCAACTCTTGACTAGATGAAATCGACATTCCAGGCGTAGTGAAGAGTTGCCATAGAGAGCGGCTTAGAGCATAAGGCAAACGGTAGAAGCGAAAGAGAAATAGGCTGGGTTTTGAATGCTCATCACCGTCTAGGTACCTATCTATTCACACCATATATATGCATTTGAGAGGTGAATGAACCATAATGTCAAAATGTCAATAGTAGAGATATAGATAAGTTAGGTAGCTGTGGCGCTTTGACATGAAGCGGTTATGATTGTTATAATTAGCAGGCTCATAAATTGAAGACCCATATACCATGTCAAGCTACGGGTAGCACAGAGCCTACAAATCTATATTGTGTTAGGTGAACCCTTGTGTTGAGTTTGCACAATACCATGCTTCACGGGATAAATGATCAAATGCGGCTACCTTGGCAGCTAGACAGGAGATGAGAATTTCCATATTAGGCCAAGACAGATGATAATACGCTGCATTTGTGGTATCATAACCTCAACAGGTATTGGCATCACGGAATCTACACTATTAGCACCATAAATAAAATCATAGTCATGTTCAAGAGGATTGTGTTCGGGTTGAAAAGAGGAGAGCTCAGCTAAGCAAGATGTATCGGAACAAGGAGCAATATACATGGTCGTAGGATATGATGTTTTCTTGACTAATTTGCTCTTATAATCGATGTTCGGTTTTACCATCACCTCCTACCCCCTCTACTTTTATGTATTATCCCCAGTAATGACTCGCAGCCTCCCAAACCCACAAACATTTTTCAAACGCCAGTACAGATATGCTAGGTACCATCGTCTTTCTACTCTTCTGGCACACCGGAAAATAGGCCGACTCTCATGCGGTGACTCTATAAGATGGGCATATTAGTATGTCTACTTGAAGCTCAGGTACGGTATTTAGGAACCTACAAAAGGTAGTTTCGGTATAACTACTCCTAGCACAGCTAGAAAGTTGATGGTGAAATATGTGAGGTCGTAATGGGTATAGTGTGTACTTAGGAGGAAGAGCACAATAGGAACGCTAAGCAAGAATTTCTTGGCGGGGGTGTACTGTGCGCCATCGTCGATTTGTTCCCACATGTTCAAGTTGTCATATGCGCCACTGTTGAAGTCGAAAGGTACGCCGCGAACGTAGTGGAACATAATGTAGGAGCCGAACATATAGGAAATATTGGTCAAAGTCCAGGACGTTTCCTGGGAGACACCGGGTATAACATCCCAGAGAATCTTGAGCGCAACGATCAGAACAATGTGGATGGTCCACGCCCCTGTTGATATTCCCTTATTAGTTAAATTTTCCCAATGCCAGAATAGCTAGGCCAGAAAGACTATAATAAATCTAGGAAGTATATCCTCATATTACAACATCTTGACATACCTTTAGCGTTGACCCAGTTCGCATTGAGATTCGGGAGAGTGGACTGGTCGTTCAACTGCTCTATCGGCTCTTGCGGTTCCTGATATATCTGAAGGATGCTGCTCGATCTCCGCCTCCTAGCTGACTTAGAATCACCCATATCGAGATAGGTGGTACCTCCCCGTCTTGGAGGATTTGTACCAACGTCGTAAGAGACGGTGCGGGGAATGAGGATTGGGGAAGACACTTTGGCGGTATTGGGCGGAGAATTCGAATTGTTATTTTCGGATTTATTCGTCATCCAGACAATTCGACCTGGATACCTAATTTTTTCTTCGGCGTATCGAGGAGATCGGATGCGAGTAGAGTATTGCTATTGTGACGATACTCGAAGGAAAGGGGAGACTAGCCAGTCGAGTGTTAGACGCGGAGGCGGAACAGTAAAAGACCGAGTAAAAGACCGAGTAGTCTAAAGGGTATCGCAGAGAATGCAGCCGATGCTGAAGGGTAAGGAAGCTAGAGATGCCGTGTTAGGAGAGGAGTCGTAAAGGACATGAGGGATCGAATGTCTAATGCGAGATGATGCAAGATGGAGCGACGGGAGTTTCTAATACCGTAACCCCCTGACTGGGAAAAGACGAAGAGCGGAAATAATTGATTGACGATGAATACAATTAGCTGAAGCGTATTACGAATAAAGTGGAAGATCACGAAGTTTAGAAGAACGTTAAGAGGTTAGAGAGAGAGGTTAGGTAGGATCAGGTAATACCTAGAGACAAGAATGGTTATGGAAGGTGATGATCAAAGAGTAGCAGCGAAGTAAATCAGCAGCATTTGAACAAGGACAGGTTTACGGGATGGGTACAAGGGTCAAGGGCCAAGGGCCAAGATTTGGAGACTTCTATTGGACAAGGGAGTGGGAACGACTGCCAATTACCAATGAGTTACCCCCAATTTCTCAACTTCTAGCTACTAGTAATATGTACTAGGTACCTATAGTTTGCACAGCCTGGACCGCGTGGCTGCAGCTGGAGATTTCGGGGATTTGATGGGTCTCCGGTCATCTAAGTACCTGGTAGGTAATTTTGCTTTGAGCTTTCCTCTGAAGGTACCGCCTTAGGTACTCGATATAAGGGTCAGGGGTACACAGAGAGTCTCACGAGATCACGTGATGTTCGATGTAGTCTTCCATTCCTTCCCAAGTTGTCGGGCTCCGCGGAATTCGACTAGAATTCTTGATCTTTTTAGGCTATATCTGCTTAGATAAATAAACCTATCGAACTAAAGCAGTATGCAGCCCCGCTAAACGTTACTCTCATCTGGTTACATGATTAGCGCGTTTCAATTTATAGATCGCCACAGTGAAATCTGCTGCCGCCTGGACATACATTATTGCCCCTGGCAGTACGGTATGAGTACCTAATCGTATAAATATTAACACGGTACGGTACATGTACCAAGTAACAACTGGACGTTACCAGGGTGCATGAATTTCTGAAAAACATTTGAAGAGCCGCATCATCACCATTCATCAATTTGATGAACTGCGTATTTATCTAACCTATCCACCTCCGAAACCTTTAACGACGCATTCTCAAAGTTGCGATTCGCAAGGGAAGATCACTCCTGTCCCCGAGATCTGAATGCGACCTTATGCTATTTTGAGAGAGGAAAGGGTTTGTTTGAAAGGGATATTTCCTTAGGTACCTAACCTATCTTATCATTTTACCAGTCTTGCGCAACTTCGACCTACAGCTCGTATCAAGAGCGCGGCGGTTGTGGCAAGATTACGGCAGGTAAACTCTGGTACTGCATTATTTTGCCCCACACAACGTATTCCACGCCTGTGGGCTTCACTCTTTTTTCCCCCCATTCCTCATCCACAGCATCATCATTACTCTTTATTATCGCGGCCCCTTCACTAAACTGTGATGAGCGGCGCTACCGAGGCATCCGCCCCTAACTCCGGCCAGGGCGGTATTGGTACTCCCAGTAGCTTATCGAGCCAAAAGCGGTCGCGCGACTATGGAGAGCAGCTAAAGGGCTTATCCCCATCTGATGATGAAGATCACCAGAAGGACACCCCGTTACCAGCATTGAAGAAACAGAAAACGGACAATCCCGATAGTGGTAATGACTCTGATCTAGACGACGGCGAAATAGTAGAGTCGAGTCCAAATCCTAGTCTAGCACATGCTCAACCCATCACCGAGGCTGTAGCAGGTCCCTCCAAAACATATGCCCCTGACAACGTTGCGCATGAGCCTTCCGAGGATGGTGAGATTGACAGCCCCATGGCTAAGCCTCAGGAGTCCGATGAATCGGACCAATCTTTCTTCATTGACAAGACCGGGAGCAAGCCTGTTCAACATTCAGGCTGGAACCAAGGGCTCAGTCTAGGTGCAAGAACGTCATTTGGGAAGCCAGCCGCACACCTATTTCCTGCAAACTCAGCTGCTAGAGAAGGACCTATGTTGTCCTCCACATCTTCGCGGCGCGATCGTAGGGACGGGGGTGCTCAATATGCTGGCGGTGGAAGAGAAGAAGATGATGACGATGAGAGGGATAGAGACTATAAACCGCCAACTGAATCGCCTGAGGATCAGCCACCCGTTGGATTTACCGTCGATGGAAATACATGGTATCTACCTCATCTGAGTTTTCGAGCCAAAAAGCATTCTGTTCATACGGCCGACTTCCTCAATGACAGAATCCAGACCTGGATTCTTGCATTTCTCGAGAGGAATGCGAAGCTAGTTGATCGCGTATCTACCGAAGTGGTCCAAGAAGGATTCACTAGCCATCTAAACCTTAAAGGAGCGAATCTTTTCAAGGGCCCTAAAAAACATGCTGACGCTGCTACAAGTGCGGCTCAAAAGGCTATAGATGATGCTAGCCTTGGGGAACTAGTTGAGAGAAAGGTTAAGCAGTTCCAAAAACGGAGAGGTAGAAATACCAAAGAAAACAAGGCCACTTCGGCCAAGGAGCCTAGCCAAGAAGATACTGCCCCCATTACAGACAAACGAGAGGAAGTATTAGGTGACGAGTACGAACTACGGCAACAACGAAGGTATTTCCCGTGGGCAGAAGATCCAACTCAGCACTGCTTGTCATGCTCCGGAATTGGGCATCATGCTCATGAATGTCCACAACGTAACTGTAAATTCTGTGGGAGCCAAGAACACGCTGCGTTCGGCTGTCCCACAAAGCAGAGGTGTTTAAAATGCTGCCAATTAGGGCATAGCAGCGCTAGCTGTGAGGAAAAACTCGCCCTCACGTCGGATGAGCAAGGCGGTTGTGCAATATGCGGCGCCGAGCACGCAGAAGAATGGTGCACCGAAATATGGAGGAGTTTCGCTCCAATCACTGATTCTCATATGAAGGTCAAGGATGTCCCGGCGTTCTGCTACACTTGTGGCGGCGCAGGCCATTACGGGCCGGAATGTGGATTGCCGGATAGGGGAGATAAGGTGACAGGAAAGACGACGTGGTCGCAAGCCAATCGCCTTCTTTACATAGACCAGAATAGCCAGAACATCGCTATCGCTTGGGTCGGTGTGGACCGAAAAGAAGATTTCCACATTCTTGGAAGGGCAAGAAAGCAAACACACACTCACTTCATCTCTAGCGAAGAGTCAGAAGAAGAGCTTGTTCACGCGCCCGTCAGAAAGGCAGAGACTCGAAGTCAGATTAGGATAGCAAGCAATATCGGATCCTTGGGGCAAAGTAGCAATCGCCCCCGATCGCGTCGTAATAACGACCAGAGTTATAGACGTCAGAACGAGAGAGAGTTTTCGCCTCCGCCTCTACCTTCGTACTCTCAAGGCAACGGTACCTCGTCTTGGCAACCACCTCTTCCGCCAGGACCGCCACCACCCTCTCAGAGGAACGGATATCAGGGTTCATTGCCATCCGCGCCTATATCTCTACCTCCGCGTCCGCCAACCTTCAATCAGTCGCCCAGCAGAGGTAGTTCAGGCGGTAGGGGTGGTCATTTCAATCGAGGTGGTCGAGGTGGCCGCGGCCGCGGAAGGGGTAGAGGACGAGGGTAATGCTTTCATCACTTTAACAGCATGTCGAATACGTTAGATGAGTTATGTTCTTGTCAAGCCATTGCATGAATAGTTACTGCCTAGATGCAGGACGGATGAGGTCTCGTGACTAGTTATATCTCATAGCCTAAGATATGATTTAACTGAACTCGATGTGAAGCACATTGATGTGTGCTTGCTCTGTATCTGAGGCTAGATGCCGATCGCTGGGACGTTATTCTTTATCTCAAGTTTGCAGCCTTCATTTATTACTTCTCCGTGCTTTCAGACTTGAGCCTTGTATCCACAGCATAGCGAGGCACGTCCGAAGTATATTTTCCTATGCTCTTATGCGAATAGTATCTCTATAATCAATTGTCTACATCCCCAGAAGAACATAGTGACGCACCCAACTATTTACACGAAATATTCGAGCTGTGGGGACGATAGGTCGTTGTCGATCCTCGTATTTGGTATTCTATCAAGTTTACCCCCATGGGACCCCTAGCAGCGAATACGAAGCTATCCTAAATATAAAGGGCGTACGTCTATATCCGCGTCTATACCGACAGAAAAGGAAAAAAAAAAAAAAAGCCTGCCTTAAAGCCCAGAAGATCTTAGTCGGCCCTATTATGGACTAACCAACCGTAGCCAGTTCCATTATATCGGTATTTACCATGAGTCATTCCATCGCCCGGTTAGCTCAATCGGTAGAGCGTGAGACTCTTAATCTCAAGGTTGCGGGTAAGTTCATCCATCCACAACAGTGGTTCTTCTCACAATCAATTGCATGCTAACATCACCTTAAAGGTTCGACCCCCGCATCGGGCTCAATTCCTGATGCTTCCCAGTCTTCTGGGACTAGCAACCCTATCTTTTTTTCCCTTTTTGTCTACCTATTTATTAGACTGGTGACTAGGAAAGAAATGTTTGTGGGTTCAAATACTTTTTGCTAGGGTTTATAACTGCTCGGAATAAAAGTCGGGCCGATGCCGAGTCGTTTTCCAAGTTGGACTCTCGTCAACATCTTAACGGTTTCGTTTTATCCCTTGGTAATAAGATAAACTAGAATTATAGGACCTTTAGCTCCTCATCTTCAAGGGGATACTCTAGGCGTGCTATGCGCGATGGATCCGCGTTGTTGTATTTACCCAAGACTTAAGAGGCATATAAGCAGCACTAAGACGTTAACATGAGACTTATACAGCTACTACCATATCTTCGTCCGGCGTATATAGCTCTAGCAATGAACACTTGCCGTACCGTGAGTAGTTCCTCCGAAATTGTGGTAGTTGACGGCCATTAGCCCTTGTTCACACAGAATTTTGACTCATTAAGAACAATGGAAACCTTTTTATTGTTTGCCCCTAAACAATGACACAATCCTGTTGTTATAAAGACTAGATAGAACAAGGCAACAACGACACAAGAGTATGCATTGGTTTCAGTGCATGTTCAGAGCCGAATGAGATCTCATGATGTGAGTGGAAACAGTCCACTTGTTCGCAGTAATAAGACTTATACATATATCATCTCACGGCGCCAATAAGCGTCAGCCTTTTTTACTTATCCCACCTTGCCCTGAAAATGACTTCATATCCACAGTACACCACCAGACCTACCCTCCCCAATATACCACCACCACACATTATAAACCTCCCAGGCCTACGCAATGGATCGCGTAGGAACCATTCCCAGCCGGGAGTCGAATACGCATCGGGTTCACACACGAGCAGATCCCGCCAGGATGTTAGAACTAATAACGTCTCCGACTGGGAGAAAAAGTTCCTCAACCCGGTAGTAGGGAATCCGAATTTTCTCCCTCAGCCCCCCTGGCAGGCCAAAGCAAACGAGCCGAAAAGCTCGACGACTATGGACTTGATCCTGGCAAATGCCGCGGCCAAGTCGAGGGACCCGGCTGCTCATGCGTTTTTCCCGCGGAGGCCGGAAAGATACTGGGCGGGATTTGGACCTCAATGGGCACCCGTGGGGCCGGTGTCAAGTCAGCTTCAGGGGACGAGGTTCGCCAATTATTAGGTTGGTGAGTTTAAAGAAGAAAGGGAGCCTGGAGGCTTTATTATCATGGTGATAGTTGTGATCTCCAAGAAATCGTTAACTATCGGTTGCTGTGATTTCGGGAATCTTAGCAATTAATTTTTCTTTGCTATTATTCTCCTTCTTTGAAAAAGGCATGTGCTTTAGTTTAATGTTGATAGTTGCGGTTTCTTAGAATTGCTAACTGCTAGTTGCTATTGCCTTAATTCCTGGCAAGAAACGAGTATTTCAATATGATATTTTATCACATCTTCATTTACAGTCTTATATATATTTTCCTGTGTCCCTAACGTAAGGACCTCGTCTCATTCTGGAGTATTTGGATATCTTACATCTTAGGCTGTGATAGTACTAAAATCTAAAATTATTACGGGAATCATCTAAAGCCTAAAGGAACTTCAATAAATGATCGTGATATGGAAGACAAAATACTTGAAAGTTAAACCTCGCCAAATTTAGCTTTACTCTCAGTCTCATGTAAAGCAGATAGGTACCCAACCTACTAGTAGTTTATTGTGACACATGAAGCCATACTGAGCCACTTACTCTTATCAATCACCCTGGTTTTTTTTTAAGACTCCCCCAAATAATGCCGCTCATCAAGGTACACGATTTATTATTTTCAGTAATGTTTACTAACTAAACTGCAGAAGCGTTAACTGGAAATATATTTTAACAGAATGGACTTGTCAAATACACCACCATACCACAAGGTTGGTATTTTCGTAATAGTGTATATGTGTGAGATCTACCAATATCCATTCACATGGCCTTCAGTCACGTGCTATTAGGACATTCAGAAATATCTCGTGTTTGTAAAAAAAAATATAGTTCTTCAGATCAATAAATCATATTAAATCCAAAAATATTTGACACACTCCCTCGGGTTTAACCGATCACGGCCAAGCCGAGCATTTTTTTCTGCTTCCAGGCTCTTGTTTGCTCGTAGAATCGAACCCGAGGCTTTTGGCATATAATTTTTGCAAGTGGTCGTCCGTCTTACCCAGTGGTGAGGGATTGCAGGACTTAATCGGCTTCAGGCATATATATGAGACTCTTAATTGTCAGACACACCACTACACCACTGGGTAATTTCGTACTGGTATATTTGCTATTACAGTATATCTGACATAACTTGGGATTCGATCGTTTAGTGGAAGAAGACCGGCAAGTTCGAACGGGTAAGTGCAGTTGGTGATATGCGCGTTGCCGCTGAGGTGAAGACGTAAGCCCACCCTTCGGAGAGAGGTCGTACGGAAGGATTTGGGGGGTGGTTTAGGAGGATGTTGAAAATGATAGAGGACTATCTATAGATGTCTTTAAAAGGGGGATATGTTACAGTTACAAGGGAGATGCCTAATCAAATGGGAAGAGACGGCCGTCTCGGAGGGGACGGCGATCGGACAATAGTAGGTATATTTTGCGAGCATTACCCTACCAGATAGCCTACCAATTATATTGAGAGGAATTGGTATTCATTAGAGTACCTATCTGCTAATACATCTCCCCGCTCCTCAACGCCCCCGCGCCAATCCTTCCGTCTCCGGGATGCTACCGCATATACTCGCGGGCTTTTGGATACTATGGTATAACGGGAATGCTATATTGGGGGAGTCTCATGCGGCGTAGATCTGGAAACGCCAGTTATGCTATGTTTTGTTATTGTAGGGTAACTGACTTGCATCAATATTACCTACCTGGGGCCTAGAGTTTGGTAAACGTCGCTGTCGGACGTCGTGAAGGTTTCCCTGAGGGGTTGGAGATGGTGTATGCTTGTGGCTGGATTTATATTGACGTAAATGGATGTTTCTATCTGCACGTTTACGCCCTTTGAAATAATCTCATGGCTTCTAAATGTTGCGGTCGGGGTTCGGACTCTTGCGATAAAAGAAAATCCTAACTGGAAGTCCTGAAAGAAATTACATTTCACAGGAGCTCTCTATCGGACTCAGTTTTACAGCACGACTACAACAGCTATGGAGTTCAGAGAAGGTATTCTTCTTGGCGAGCCCTCCATGGGAGTGCCAACAAGGTACCTCGTCTCAAGTCTCCTCATCATTGGCATCTACGGCCTCTACCGCCAGCTCCTCCCCAAACCCCTCCCCGGAATCCCCTATAACGCCCTATCCGCATCTTCGCTCTAGGCGACGGCCCCGACATGGCGCGCACCGTCGGCACAACCGGTGAGTTCGGCCCCTGGTGCGCGGCACAGGTCGCCAAGGCCGGCGCGCCGCTCTGCCAAGTGTTCGTGCGCCCGTTCTGCCGGCCCTGGGTCTTACTAGCCGACTTTCGCGAGGCGCACGATATCCTCGCCCGTCGCACAGCGCCTGCCCGCGACGCCGACTTCGACAAGTCTAGTTTTATTACCAATAGCATGAGCTGCCTGGGCGAATTCCATGCCGCCATGCGCGCGTCTACGCGTGAGGATGGCTTTAGGAGTAATAGAGCGCATATGCAGGACCTTATGGCACCGAAGTTCTTGCACGGCGTTATTGGGCCGGTGGTGCATGGTAAGGGCTTAGAGTTGGTAAGGCTACTCTGGATATATTGCGCTGATTAACGTCCCCCCTTAGCTTTTTGGCGAACTCATCGCCGGTAATCACACTACGGGCGGCGCACTTGGTTGGCTTGTTAAGTGCCTCACCAGCTACCGGCATATGCAAGCTAAGCTTAGAGAATCCTTGTACGCCGCTCTCCCGCAGGCCATCACAGAGGGCCGGCCCCCAACCTTCGAGGAGCTGCGACGGACACGGCTGCCTTACCTTGACGCATTTATCGAGGAAACACTGCGCCTCAATCTGGTCCCAGCAACGCGTGAGACTATCCGCGACACCACGATCCTCGGTCGCCCCGTTCCTAAAGGCTGCCAGATCTTTCTGATATCTAATGGCCCGGGTTTCCTCGCGCCGTCCTTTGCCGTCTCTGCATCGGAGCGTAGCCCAGCAGCGCAGTCATCATGCGTAGAAAGTATGGTAGGACTATGGAATATAGGTAAGCAAGGCTGGTGCTACGCTTCTCGGTCGGCACTTATGCAGAAGACGGTAGGATTATAGGACACATGTAACGAAGGCTGATGTTACGTCTTGTTTTATGTATAATGCGGAGAGAGGGGAAACCAGCTTGGGGGTAATAGATTATAGAACGATAGAACCATCATGTATTCTATAGTCAGCTGTCCATAGGACCATTTACAATCAGCTCAGCTGCCATGTTACCTCCTAGTTTCTATACTTAGGTAGGTATCTCACTAACTACCTCACTATCTGACTCCTCACAACGTAACGCAACACTCTCGCATCTTTACCAAAAATATTTGGTTTTGGGCGCGGCAACGCTGGGAACTCCGAGCTCACTTTCCAGGACGTACCAGTTCTCTTTCCTACCTCGTTCCATAGCAACTGGAATGTCGTCTCATCATGCAGGAACATCCTGAAATGTTCATCCTCACCTGGCTTGTCTCTGCCTATATGCACCCCGAACAACACGGCTGGATTTTCTGCGCTGGAACCGCGCCGAAAGAAACGCACAATGCGCTCGCAGATGACCAACTGCGACTCCCAGCTAAATAGGTGGAAGAAATTCGACGCATGTATGATGGAGATTTTCCCGTCGAGCGTTCCGGCCAGAGAGCTAGCCGCGTACTCTTCCTCTGGGAGCAACATGTCTCCTGCAACAAAGGTCGCTTTCAAAGTCTCGCGGTCGCGGAACTGCTCATATCCCAGCTCGAGGAACTCGGCATGTAAGTCTGTTCCATACAGGCGCGCCGAATCGACGCCCTCGAAAGCGAGCCGTCGAATCGTCTGGCATATGAAACCACCTATTTCGAGAAAAGTATCCTGCGAGCCAGGCGCCTTGAGCCGCTCGAGAGCTTTTTGCATCTCCGGTTCGTCATCGCCGAATTCGAGGAGACGCAGGTAGGTAAAACAACCGATGCAGGGGTACTTGACGACTTCCCAAGCCTTGTCTCGCTATATGATGTGAAGTGATGGTTAGGAGAGACGGCCTTAGGTTAAAGAGCAATTGATTGGTAAGGTAGGGAGGATGTTCTTCTCTTACAATCTTGAAGATCTCCGCTTCGACTTCGTTCGGAGGGATCTTGCTATACTTTTCTAGAACCTCACGAAATCGGCCGTATTCCCATGGGATCGTGTCCATATACATGTCCTTTCTCCATGCATCGTCGTCTCCGGCGCCAAGCTGCTTTTCCGTTTCCTTGCCCCACTTCTCCGTGTTAACGGCGCTGGTAATGCTCGTCATGTTGCGGTATATTGAGACTGAGCTGATGAATACTTTGACAATTTGCTTGTGAGAGAAGGGGGACAGGGCTACCGGGTTGGAGAGGTTTATTTTTATATTTTCTCTCGCTTTTGAAATATGTACGATGTGCTTTTAATTCCCGGGGAACACCGGAATTTACGGGAATTCCCCGAGGCCTATCCCCTCAACTGGCATAAGACATCACCCCCCTAGTAACCTGTAGAGTATAACGTAAGGTTCCACGCCACTTACTGACATAAAAGGAAAAGATCTTGCGATATGCCTCTATAATAAATATAATTGGCCGGTTTAACAACGTAGAACCAGTTATCTTTAGTCAATCTTGATGCATTATTATTAATACTGAAAATAGTGGAGGTGATGTCTTATGCAGATAATAATGTAGTATTGAGTTACACTGGATCTTGTTTATATAGTAATAGTTTCGAGCATCCCTAAAGCTATACCTAGTAGCTTTCTCATTCTTAACTCATGGTAATCATCTCTATCAAGTGAGTATTGCTTTATGTATGATTGGGTAATATTGAGCTACAGTGAGAGTTGCCCAGTAATTAGAAGTATCAATATTAAATTGTACTGTAACAAGATAGCTTCTTAATAAAGAATGTAATGTAGCGAAAAGTATATTTCGCACGCAGCTTGTAAATGAGACCTCAAGTTTACTCTGCCCCTTTTTTCTTGTTCTTTTCGCTCTAACCGAGCCTTTCACATTCGGATTGACGCGACTCCTAACCACTTCCCTCTCAATCAACTCTTAACTCACTGTCTTAGATATACCTCCAGCAAGCCGAGTGGTCCAAATGCGTGCACTTTGTGGACTTCATATCGCGCATCCGCCTCTTTCAGCAACGCCTCGAACTCCGTTCTAGAGCGCTGTTTGCCGCCATAGCTAATCAACATGATCATATATCGATCTGCCGAATATCCCGCTCTAACAGCCGTGGCCATTTTTCGCCGGGTTCAGGCATGATGATATCGTTGACCAATAGCGGCGTCGCCGGCCCGGAAGACTCCAGCCCGGGAACGAAGGACCGGAACATGGTTACGACATCTCGATCGCACCAGTTATGCGTACACTGGCGGAATAGGTATGCCGCCGCGGGATCGTCCTTTTGGACTGGCTGTGGCTAGAAGAAGCTGTGCTGCATGAAAGTAATGCGTCCCCCAACGTCGTCGGTCAGGAGCGGGCGGCCTTCGGCGAGCATGTCGTTCGAGCCATCTTGTACGACAAATTTGAGATGTGGGAACAACTAGAACGAAGAATAAAGTAAGACATACATGTAACTTATTGAGGAGAACAGGGGACGGTCAGATTGAGCTTTAGATATACTTACTCGAGCCAAAGCTATCGACACATGGCCGCTCCCACCGCCAACATCGACAACAGTGCCTTTGAGCTCTCCCCAGGAGAAACAGTCCCGTAGTTCTTTAATATGGAGGCCCATTCTAGTTGCCCCAGCCATAGCCCTCGCAAAACGCGCAGCTTTATCCGGGTACTTGGCGTAGTACTCGAAGACTGGAAGCCCGTGTCTCGTATAGAAAGGACAATGGGTACTATCCGATTCAAACGGATGCTCCTTGAGACTGTCACTTGACTCGGCCGCTGCTTTTAGCTCTGTCTACGCGTTTGACTACGTTGCTCGCTTACGGCAAGGACATAAGGTCCTTATCCAGTCCGCCACTGGCGGACTCGGGCTCGCAGCCATTCAGCTTGCGCGGGCGAAAGGCGCCGAGGTCTTTGCCATGGTGGGTACGACCGAGAAGGCAGATTTTTTAATCCGAGAGATGAAGCTGCCAGAATCGCACGTCATTGCCATCGCATCAGGAGACGGCGCGTCTGCTCTACACAAAAAGCTCGCTCGTATGACGCCTCACGGCCGTGGCTTCGACATAATACTTAGTACGGCTCGGGGAGATGTATTGCACGCGTCCATCCAAGCACTGGCACCTCTAGGACACCTAGTTGACGTGGGACGTACCGATGTACAGGAATCCAAGGCTTTAGGGATGGAGCTTTTCAGCAAGAGTGCTAACTTCTCCTCGTTTGACCTCTCACTTGTTCTCGACGCTGACCCCGCGCTCGGCAAGGAGCTAATGCAAGCCGTCCATAACTATTATCGAGATGGGCTTATTAGGGCCGTTCGCCCATTCTCAGTCACTGACGTATCTAAGCTTGACCGGGTCTTGTTAAGGTTCTCTAAGGGTACGCATGTCGGTAAGCTGGTGGTGACGTTTCAGGATCCGCAGACACCGGTTAAAATGCTCCCAATACCGTCCCAGCAGCATGTCCAGTTCGATCCCGCGGCATATTACATCGTAGTGGGAGGATTCGGTGGTCTCGGAAGGTCCATTATTAGATGGATGTGCCAGCGCGGAGCTCGCAACTTGGTAGTCTTATCTAGACGCGGGATAGAGAAAAGTTCCCCTGTAGCGCAAAATCTCGTGAACACGCTTGGTGAGCGTGGTATCAATATTCAACCCTTGACATGCGATATCAGCGACCGGTCTCAAGTAACGCGCTTCATAGAGAGTATCTCATTAGTCTCCCCAAATACCCCCGTCAAGGGTATTATTCACGCCGCTGTCTCCTATCTCGACCTCTCCTTCGATAAACTGACCGTCCAGCGATGGCGCGACAGCCTAGCTGCCAAGGTCCAAGGGAGCAAGAATCTGCACGAAGCGACCTTGTCTCTCCCCCGTGGACAGCTGGACTTCTTCGTCATGGTCACCTCACTCGAGTCCATCTACGCATTGGCCACGCAGAGCGCATACACGGCCGCCAACGCATTCCAGGATTCATTTGCGAGGTATCGCCGACGGCTCGACATGCCCGCAACAAGCATATCGTTAGGATTCGTTAATGGTATTGGCGAGCTAGGTCAGGATTCGATCACAGTGGAGATGTTTGCGCGGAACAAGGGGCTAACGCTCTCGGAGGGGGAGTTCCTTGCCCGGCTAGAACCGGCGTTCCTTAACGACGGCCTGACCATCAACGACGGCGAGGGCAACAACTGGGTTGGCCAAGCCGAGGACCTGCTTTCCGCTTCTAATATCCTCACTTGTTTGGACCCGGCCGCAATGGCTGCTACGGAGCGTGACGAAGAGGATGAAGCACGCGACGCGGGCCCGGCCCGGCCGTCAAGGAACGCCATGCCTCGCTGGTACGACGATGGGCGTGTCTCGCTCATTATGCGCGCTTTCGAGGACGCGCGAAGAGACCGACGCACAAGTAGCTCTTCGGACGCCGGGGTGGCAGCAGCACAAGGAGGCGACGACAATGCCGGCAAGTCATCTATCAGTCGCATCCGCCGGCAATTCGATGCAGACATTACCGCAGAGGCTCCGGAGCGTTTCAAGACAGTAGGCTTTGTCACGGGCGCCATCTCGACGGCGGTAGCTGATATGCTCTTCGTAGACGTCTCGAATATTAATCCGGGGCGGTCTGTGGCTGACCACGGCGTCGACAGCCTGATCGCGGCGGAGCTGCGGAACTGGTTCCACCAGGCGCTGGGGGCGAAGATAAATATGCAGGAGTTGCTAGATGCGAGGTCTAGTATTGCGGCGCTAGCGGGTAGGATTGTAGATGCAGCGTCAGCTAAGAGGCAAGATGTGCAAGAGGGGAAAGTGAGGAATACATATAGATAGGATAGATAGCTAAGGAGAAGGCATTTTCTCTAGCGAACCTTGACTGTGTACGGTTTCTTCTTACTCACCTAAAACCACATAAACTCCTAACGCCACGGTCTTCAAAGGTGTGAATTTAATATTCGGTCCCAGCCGGTAAGAAATGAGAAGACTAAACGAGTCAAGGAAGACGATAATCAAAACACAGATGTATACTCATATCACGAACGGAGCCACGGGCGCCAGGAGAAGCTTAGGTACCCGCCCATCCTCCCAGACAACTTAGCCCTGCCCTTACTGGCACTAGGAAGCCCACTGTCCTTAGTTGGTTAAATATACACACAACCTGAGCGCTCGGCCAGCCCTTACATTATGTTTTTACAAGAGATGTCGTGGTTTTCCATTCGCGTACTCCCAGATTAAACATAAGCGAAGTCGTTAGACAGTGCTGATAGGAGTCGAACCCAAATCCACTTATACCTCGACTCTCCCTATTCCTCACGGGAGATACTTGCCATAATTCTAGATGATATGTATAGCAAAGTCCAGTCTCATCCAACGGCCTCGATAATTCAAAGTTAAAGTCCTTTGCGAAACAACTGCGCCGTTTCTATGCTTTCTTGGTCCACCCCGTGACCTAATAGATGAGTATTGAAGCGAGCTGCGAAATTCCAGTAATAACATCCTGCTTAGAAGCTATCGTAGTATATTGCCGATCTTGTAATCATTTCGCCCGGTCTAGAGATAATCTAGACAACGTTACCATGCGCTCCAGGACCCTCAGGTTCATGAAATTTGGAAAGGATCCATGATAGGTATACACGGTTCCGCGTCGTAAAATGCACAAAGTCCATAAGAAGGAGTAAATCTGTACCATTTGAAGAAATCATGGACTTATTATACGGTACCTTAAAGGCATTTAAGTTGGAAAGAATTCCGACATATAAGACTGATAAAAGTTCCGAGCTATGACATGGCTAGATACTCGGCTAGATATATCGGGTTAGACTAGCATTGACGTATGAGGAAGAGCGGGACTTTTGGAGGGTTCTTTTGTTTCGCAAATGAGAGCTTCGTAGCGGCGCCTTTGATTCGTTGGATTTCGTATTGTTCAACGAATAGAAGAAAAACGTCCCATGTCGGATTATGCTAGCGAAGCAGCGCATAGATTTGTTGGTGAACGTGTGTTTGCATCGCGTTCGGAAACAGGCTGGTGTATGAAACTAATCGCATGGATTCTAGAAGGAATCTGCTCGTGCTAGAAGCTGAGTCCGAAAGTCGAAAATTAGTCCCTTGCAGATGTCCGTAGCGGTTCCACAACCCGCTACCTATTGCTATCCTGGCTCTAGATCGTGAGCCCGGTCGCTGACAAGATACCAAGTATTCCTTGGCACTCCACGATTCCGCCCCTGGTCTTTAAGCCATCAAGCATCTTCTCCAACGTAGCATTAGAAGCATATATACTGAGGGTGTACAGCTTAAATAGGCTTTTAATGTTGGAATATGTTTCGTTTTATAGATCTGATATAGCGGTCAGAAATTCTTCAACTATATATCCGAGATGAGTAGCAGTATCAAAAGCTCGATGCTTAAGCATTGGAGGAATAGTAGCATCTCTCTTGGCCGCAGCGGAAGTAAGAGGGAAAAAAGCGAAAAGAAGGCTGTAAAGAGACAGTCTACACATGCCGTCGTCACCCCTCTCAGCACGATCGAGTCTCCCGAATCACCAGCAGAAATAATGGACACCGAAGTCCACGAGGAGCGAATAGATGATAGTGCGGCGACAACGAGTGAGGCCACGCCCCCGTCAAAGGGTATTAGCCTTCAGGTGACAGTACACATTGCACCCGAGAACGTCGAAAGGTTTTTAGTTGCGTTCAAGGCTATCTTCGACGTTGTGGCTGCCGAGCCCGAATGTCTTTTCTTCGAAGTTTATAAGTCCGTGGAAGAGCCTGGGAAGTTAAGCTGGATCGAAAACTGGTACGCCGCCACCCTAAAAGAGTGTTGAGAATATGTATTAACCAGATGATAGGTCAAAGGATATACAATGGTTCCTAGAGGTTAGTCTCCGTTGTCTTACCCCAGAGCCGTTGAATGGGACGAGTAAGAACCAAATCTAACCTGTTTCAAAGCACCAAATAACCAAGCCGTACTACAAAGAGTACCTGGAGTTTACCGAGCCCATGTTTCTTAAGCCACGGGAAGCTCGCATCTTAGAACCCCTAGGACCCGAATTCTCTATGATTAAGGGGGGCCGACTGGGGCATTGACATTAGTTTGCAATTGACGTTTGACCACGACGGTATTCCATGCTGATGATGCCATACCATATTTAATACTCGCGTCTGAAGATAGAAATTTTTAATCACTCTGGGTCGGAGGGGCACGAAGGGGTTATGATAATATGTGCGAGGCTAAAAGTGTTTGCCTAGTAATGTATAGTGAGGTAGCGAGCGAAGAACCAAGCTACTTATTCCTCTTATCCTACGATGAAGATTCCAAATACTCGAAGAAACGTGTGTAAGCAATGCCCACGAGACGAGTTCCCAAACGATAGCGCAGAAGCATTGTCGTCGGTCCCGCCTCGGCTGCAACACGCCGTCCCAAGCGATGGCGTAGAAGCACTGTCGCTGGCGAGTCTTTGGTTGAGGCTCTCGAATGACAGCGTATCCAAAACACAGATGGGGTATCATATGAATGCGCCAAACCCAAAAAAGAGCAAAGAAATTACCAGAAAAGCACCAAAAACAAACCTCTGTATGCGCCACTTCCCACAAGACGGGTAAAAAGCGATAGCGTTCCAGCATTGTCGCCTTTCCCGTCTTTCATCCAGATCCGCCAATCCTAGCGATGGCGCAACGGCACTTTCGCCTTGAGAATTCCAGTTCTCCATTTCATGCGCGTATCGAACCTCTAATGGGAGTGTTTCGTATTAAGAAGTCGTAAAAAGTCGGGTGAGATTGAAGCGAAAGGTATAAATGACAGGTTGAACTGTCCAGATCACGAAGAGCAAGTAGTTTCTGATGGCTGCGCTGCTAGTTGTTGAAGACCACAGCGGAGAATAGCACATCTCTAGAGTATACTGGAGTATACAGCTACGTTCTCTTCCGCCACCACATGCGACCGAACCCGCGTTGCTGAAGCTCACGGCGGGCCGCACCGTCTTGGATTGTGGAGCTCCCACTGCTACCAATTTTATGGCTGGGCTTGTTACCAATGATTTTTAGGGCGACGAACATGACGATGCTGCTTAGGATGCTGACACATAAAATACCAATCATGACCAAGTTGCTTCGGCGGTACTGATGAGGCCCGGGAGCGGCGTCTGCCGGCCAACCTGTATATAGCGCATATGTCGTTGTAATGCTACCGAGGTTTCCAAGACCCGAAACCAGTGCCGACGCAGCAGCTACACCGACCTCCCCGTGACGCTGTTGGAATATCTCGTTGGTCCAAGTCATACAGATAGGAACCGTAGGACCAAGGCCGAAGCCCACCATGAGAAGACCTCCATACCTTGCCCAAGGGTTCGAGGTAGGAGCAAAGGTAACAGTGAGAAGGCCGGCAATTTGGATACACACAGCACAAGAGAAGAATAAGGGACGTAAGCGGTGAAATCGATCCGAGATGGGAGTGACGAGCAGAATTGCGAAAAAGTCCATCTATCGAAGTTAGAAGCCGAGAGGCATATATCTAGCAAGTGTAGACTTACGATCCAAATGGGGGCGAAGAGAAGACTGAGCTGTACCCCAGTGAATGATGGATTAATACCACGGATGATCACTGTGCCATAAAGTTGAGTGCCGATCCCGACTCCCACCACGCCGAAATACATAAGAGTAAGCGGCCAAAGCCTCCAGTCAATCAGGACGTAACCTAGATCCTTGAGAGTCCAGGGTCTTGAGTGGTAGACTCGCTTGAGGTCTTCGTAATGAACTAGAGCATCTTCACCCGTCAGAGCTTCGGGGGTCGGAGGAAGCCATTTCATGAAACTCGAGCGCTCCCTTCGTTGTCCTGGGGGTAGCGGACGTTCGGGTAGCCACCATAGTAGAGTCCAACCAAGGAGCACAGCAAGAAGCCCATAAATAAGGAACATCCACTGGAAACCGACCAGGCCACCAACGCCGTCCATCAGTTGGAATCCCGCCGATACCAAGCCAACCACGGCGGCCGAGATCTGAGAGGCTGTAAAATACATCCCGATTCGTTTACCAGTCCGAGATGGGGGGTAGAAAAGAGTTAAGTAATAGGACATTCCAGGCCACATGCCGGCAATCACCATACCAAGCAGGAATCGCAATAGTCTTATGCCAATGGTTAGTACCCTAGACCAACTCGAGGAGAGGGGAATTGAGACGATGCTAGACTTACTTTAAGCTCCAAGCAGCCTGGACGGCAGTAAAACAAGCCCCTATTACGCCCACGGCAAAAACGATTCTAGCCATCCAAACTCGAGGGCTTAGCTTGCTCATGACGAGATTTGAGGGGCAATCGAAAATGACATAAGATACATAGAAGAGAGCCAATGCAGTGGAGACATCGTTAGACGAAAGCCCAAGCATCGTCATTAAATCATGTCCGACGTCCGAATTCATCGTCTGCGCCAAGCCGATGTTAGAGCGTATGGCGGAGCAGAGGAAGTACAGGATCCAGAAAGCTACGGTTGAATCAGCTTAAGAGGCCATCGAAGGATAATCGGTGATATTACCTGGAATGATGCGGAGATCTAACTTCCTATAAACTGCCTCTACTCTCTCGATGTCGTACTCGACGCGAGCAGGCCGGCCTTCCTCTAATTGAGTCCCTGCTTCGTGATCTGCGTTGATCATTACGGGGGTCTTATCCCCCTCTGTAGCAATATCGTCGGCCATACTTCGACTGTGAAGCAATGGAAGCGCGTGCTACCAGTCTTTTCAAGCCACGAACTCGAAGCGTCCAAATAAGATCTGCTTGACTAATCTCGGTCTTGTCTAAGATAGACTTATTACCCGCAACGTAAGTCCTGTCCGAATTATGATTGCTGTAACCGAATACCTGGGGAGGAAGGTAAGAAATGTTTGAGAGAAGAAAAAAAAAATGAGCAGAAAGGTAAACGCCATGACGCTAGAAGCTATGTAGGAATTGTTGATTCGTTGAGTTAAATACAGCCAATAAGGAAGTCGCTTGGGAGGGAATATATGGGGCATCAGCCCCCCTGCTCTACCTAGAGATCACTATCTAACTATAAGAGGATAGTCTAAACTCTATTACAGCGACACTCACGTTGTACGAAAGTTTTAACAATATAAATATTTATTGAAATAGCTTAAATTTCATAGTAATGTACGATTACAAACCGTCTGAATAATGTAATACATCGTAACTCAACCCCTTAAAGTGGAAGTAAATAGTTCAGGCATAGGAACACTAGCAGTGATTAGGCGGTACTTGTAGTGTTTACAAGAGTTAAAACAGTCATCAGTAACCTAAGGTTAGATGTAGAAACGTGCATGTAGCTTAGATATATTCGAAATAAAATAATAATTCGATTCTCCGGCTGCAACTTCTCTTCCTTGGTATCAAAATTCCAATAAATTCATAGTTCCTGGCTTTAATCGACTCTAGTGAAGAAGGAGAGGAAATCAACCGCGGCCATTATTTGGGGGGGTCCCGAAACTGCATTTTCTTTCACTCTGATATTGTGCTATCGTACTCATAAATCGTTCTCACACGGCAAAGAGATTGTTTCCAGCGTAGCGCTGACTGACTCTGAGAGACCTCGATAGCAAGTACCTTCCTAATATTTTGTACTTTAGAGCGCCGATAGATGCATTTTTACATCATGAGCACGATATCCTCATCGGTAGAAGGAAATTGACAAAGATTGATATAAATCTCACGAACTCAGATCCATTGAATAAGCTATGTGTAATTTTTGTGGTCAGAAACTGTCTGGTTCTCTCCAATTGTTCTTACACAACATTCGCTATCCGTTCTTGTGTACCATTGTGCCTTATTCTCTTTGACGAACAGAAGGATAGTTCGGAAGCAGATCGTGTAGGCCTCAGTGCCGATAAAGTATATAATGTCCTATGTGCCGCCAGCTTTTGGCTACTAGAGAATCCCTTGATTGTTATACTACATTTAAAAATTTGAGCCTAGGTCTTCTTACGCATTTCCCAAATTTTCTCATCTACATTGAAACTTATTCGCCATGTGTTGGGTTAACAAAACATTCCACAAACTCTGCAAACATCAGAGTATCAATTATGAAGTTGAAAACACCTGTCCTGGTAGAGGAGGAGCTAATTGCTTTCACCAGAAACCAGGTCCGGTGCGTGAGGTCAACACTAAGTGTTTAATTTGCTTGCGGAAAGAAGCACACGACGAAAGGCTTTCCAAAGATAAAGAAGGACCGGTGAGTGAGACGGATTTACGCCTCGAAGAATTGAAACGGGCAACACGACATTAAGGGGGTATTGAGAGGGCGGCCTGCAACTAGCAGGCTTCTATGGATTGGCCACGCCCTCCCCCGTTCAGAAAAGTCTGAATATGATAGGTCATCTCACCATCCTAGAGATGCCCCTGTTGATTCATCAACTATGACAGTATCAAGGATACTGCATTCAAAATTTCTTTTAGCAGCGTTCCACTATCAGTTACTATCCGTTCTTACACATTCTAATGATCCGTGTACCCCTGGTTCGTTCTAGCGACCAGCCCACCGCTAACTCTTGTCATGTTCTGGTCGACAGGATATTACGGGGTAACAAAGATGAGATGCCCCTAACTCTCCAAGTATAACACCGTGCTGGATGGCTTAAAATCACATCTTAAAGCCAATGTAAGTACGTCTACTAGATGTTGCAATAGCTAAGTCAACGAGTAATATGCAACGCACTCGACAGGGGCTACCTCACCACTCGCATCGTGATCGGGTACTCCGGCTGGCTGTCTTACTGCTTTTACCTCGTATCCAGATTCCCGGAAACCCGATCAGAGCCTCATAAGAATTGGTGGGTACCAGCAACATAGGCGTCTCTCGGGGAAGACTCGGAGTGTGCTAGCGGCTAATGACACTGCGGGTAATATTTTTCAATATATCAGCATCCGAACCGAGGCGGGTGTCACGATGAAACCTTCCGATGGCAGAGCGACGCAATTGTCGTGTAACGAGTTACAAATCCAACCACACAAGACGGCAGGTTCGCATGGTCACCAAGCATGAGGTCAAATTCCACTTCGGTAGGGTGGGCAGTAGGTAACACCTACTACAAAGTACACGCGGTTATTCATCTTGTATACTAGAATAGAACAGCTTATATTAATTCATAATTTATAATCTTTCGCTCAGCTCCTCTAAAAACATCTTCTCTTCGGGCGATAAGTACATATCGTCCGGAATAGCCACATGTCCCCTTGTTATAATCACCCTTGACGGCTCTATAACAATTTTCCCTTCTTCCATATGACGTGTCGTAATAATCTTGAGCATAGCTCCACTGTCACTGCTGCTATCTCTGTTGCTTCTCTTCCCATCCGGTATTTGCTGCTGTTGCGGCTGCTGCTGCTTTTTCCCGCGGCCAACCTCCGCTGGGGTCCACCAGTAGACGGGGAACCGCCTCTGGATATTATTCAAAAACAAAGCCACACACTGCATCAAGACGCAGCCGAGCAGGACAACTGGTATCAAAAACCATCCTAGATGAGCTACACCTTCATCAATTACAGCGAGTAGAGCTGTAGCTCCCGCAGGCGGGTGCACAGTGCCAGTCAAAGCCATAAACGCGACAGCACAAGAGCAGCTCAGCGAGCCGGCGACCCAGGTAACCTCATTTGACATAGGACCTAGCGCAAAGAGTTTCCTGATGGTAACGCCTATTAGGGATGAAAAGAACTGTCCGAGGACCGCGCTGCGAGGCTGCGCGAGAGGAGACTCGATGGCGTAGAATTCGAGAACCGCAGCGGCGCCCTTGGGTCAAATGTTAGTCAATTTCCCCCTGCAAATTAATATGAGACAGATCTCAAAAAAATAACCGGTCGGAACTCACAAAACTGCCGATAATCATAGGAGCACCGTGCTCCTCAAAAGAGGGGATGGCATGGCCCACCGCTTCGATGATGGTCAGGGAACAGAAAACTCCAATAAATGCCCAAAAAATCATCGCAATATTGCCCAACGGTCGCTGATGCTCTGGCCTATGGCCCAAGAAATGGGCAATGGGATATGGTAGATGATTCCATGGCGCAGCTGGTATCCATGGATTAAGGTACTGGTCGATTTCGAAGTGCCATTTTGTCGGTTGGGGAGGCATTTGCGTCTCAAGCAGGCCAATCGGGTTTGTTGGAGTTGGTAGCGTTTAGGTGTCAAGAACGCGAAGCCAAAAGATATTTCAGCACGACGAGAAGATGCCAGCGACGACAGCGACCCGCCAACAACGCGGAGGCGTGTCGGCGGTAGGTAGATCGTATTTATCAACTCGGGACGTCGTTGGCGCCAATGGCATTTTACCATTTAATTTTCTTTCTCATTCCATAGATGAAGATGAATGAATGGTGTGTTATGGGTAAAGCAGGTAAAGCAGCAATCCAACAGAACTAAAGCGCATCAAGGGATTGAACCAAGAAGTATATTTACAATTCGTGACTAACATAGTCAAGGTTCGTCAGGGATAATTGAGACACGATGACCAATTGGTCGTCCACCTGGCGTCATATTGAGTAACAAAATTCCCAAAATGGATCAGTCCAACGCGCTGGCCCAAGTAACACTGTAACACGGGTGCTCCCTCACTCGGTCTCCCGAATGCCGAATAAGTGGATCCTTCTCCGGACGAGATATCTCCGCGGAGCACCCCTTTCTCATTTTTATATAGGCAAACTCTTCCCCCAAGTGCCCGATCAAAATTTGAAGGCCGAATTAAGCCAGTGTAAAAATTGTATTGAGGTAGACATAAGGAAAAATAAGATTCATTAAGGAATGCAATGCACTGAGATTCGCAACTCCTGTTTCAGAAAGGAGATGCGATTCAGCGGCTCGGGGAAAGAAGGGAGGGCGCTTAGTCAGCACTCATAATCATCGGCCAACAACCAAAATAAAAAAGGTTGGAACATCAGAAAGGAGATTTATGAATGAGAATCCACAGTAAGTAAGGGTTTGCAAAGTTAAATATCATCGATAATCACTTATGAGAGTATATATTTCATGAAAACCTGTCTTAAAAACCCATCTTGGCAATCTTTTATCTTTCATGCAAATTATACCTTCACAACATAGAAACATAGAAACATCTTAAACTGTAGTCTGTAAATGACCTCTGTTTGTATACCCCAACGCCTGTGACATCTAGCAAGACCCGGCTTCACTCCTCTGAACATAATCTTTGAATACTAATATCGGCTAGATATCAGATAGTTTATACCCTTGATAGTTGTCATATACAGAGTGAGTGTCAGGATAAATAGATCAGGTTGTAGATAGTATTGAACCAGTAACGCCTGGCCTTCTACCTTCTTACGAGGGCGCTGTGCGCCTCTTGTATAGTACATATACCCCTGTAGCTACCCCTAACCTACTTATACCCTGACACTAGACGTCGAGCACTAAAACGATTATTGACGCCACAGATTAAGGTCTAAGATTTAAAAAGCAAAAATGAATACCTATGCAAAGACTACCTAGATACACAGTACCTCTATGAAATAGCAAATGCCCCTCTCACGGCAAAACAAATCCTCCATCTTCAAGTTCGCTCCAACATCCAGTGTTAGGTAATAAAACAAAACGACATCATCGCCCATAGATAAGTATAGGTACATATAGATAGATCAGTAGTAGGATCTTGAACCCGTAAGGTTATAGTCGTAATAACGACTGTTGGATTGATCAGTCGCCGTAGACGACGATCCATAGTAACTGTCACCGGCCGAACGGGTAACCGTAGACTATGATTCGTAATAACTACCACCATAGCTAGCGCTGGGAGCTGAATATGTGCCTGTACTTGAGATACTCGTAGTCATCCAATTCAGATCATTGAAAACCTTCGCACTGCCCGTGTACCAGATGTTGCTGTCGGCCATGTACTGGCAGTGCTGCTCGATTGAATCTGTGAGACACATTAGCAAGTCTAAAATACGACACATCGCTCTCGTTACTAACCAACGTCCATAGGAAGTTCAATATAGCGGTACTTATGTAAAGAATTAAGAACTTCCTTGACCCAGACGCGGCAGGTCCACTCATTCTCTCCTTGAGGGAGGTACCGAGGATCCATCAGGTGGACAGACGCAGCGCACTGCCTAAGGATGTCTATACCAGGCGAATCTGCAATCTTGAGGACTACAACCATGGTTGAGGATCGGGCTGGTTCGGCATTTTGGCGTTCCTCTAGGCGAAGGTCCATGTTACGTCTACCATTGTCGGAGGCGTGTAGAAGAACCCCAGATGAATTTGAGGTTTCGCAGATGAATAAGCCCCAGTGCTGTGCCAACTGTTAGAACTATACACTAAAAATGCTTTGATTCGACTAAGACTTGCATATTTATTCTGTCCGTTAACTTGGTTAAGGTACTGGAGGGTAATGTATAGGCAGTTTTTTGATATCTTGGATGACATGTTGTAGAAGAAAAAGTTCGAGGGTCCTTTTTTGATAGAAAGAAAATAAAATCTTCAAAGTCTGAGGAGTATATGATACTATCAAGAAAACTTGAAAAGACAGGACTGTATATAAGAGTTGTAGAAATTGTATACTTTTGATTGTGAGAGATGCTTATTCGATTCCATTCTTACACCGCAGCCGGATTACAGTCAACTTATATACCCTTTCCCAGCAATTCGAGGCAATATGAATATCTCTGTTGGTAGTTAACTACCTCCTAGGTAGGTATCTTGGCATTTAGGCTTAGTGCATGTATAACGGAGATGATTTTTTATTTCAAGAAGCTCCTGAAACTGCAGGTTGGTCCGTTGGATCAACCGAACACTTTCAATCACCAACAATGTGCTAGATTGTGTGATGAACAATAAGACACGAGGCATAATTGGTTAATAATGGCTGAGCTGCGTAATGCTAGCAAGACTGGTCAAAGCTGGTAAGGCGTACCAACTAGACCGGACCGGTCCGACTTGTGAATCGGGCGGCAAGCAACGTTCAGCTGTCTTTTTCGGGTAACACAGTGCAAGTAAATTAGAAGATAATCCACTAACCAAGGCAACCACACGGGGCACCACAAGAACTTTGGTTTTAGGAGTTGATTTCGTGAAACTCCTTGATCCTTTAACCTTTTCAATATTCTTTTTTATACACCGTAATCGCTTCGCAGATAGGCTAATACTTCCGGATTGCTGTTTGTCTATCGGGTTACGATGATGGCGAAAGCGGCGGCCCGATTTGCTCGGCATATTTCGTTCGGCACGTTAAGCGCGCGCTTCGTTACAATTACAATCCCTGATGATTTGACCATAGCCTCAATATTCCTGACATTAACACTTTGATTTTCACATGGAAAATAATTCGATATACCTGATGACCTATTTAAACTCAGGAATTATCTTGATCGTCAAACCTCTAAGCCAACATTCTTTGAAGTTATCATAAACATTACATCTTCCTTGGCTGTTATTTCTCGCAATCTAGCTGGCTTATTTTTAGCATGGCCGCTCCTAATGACCTAGTGAGGAGCACGCTGTCACTTATTGAAAGTACAGGGCTGCCATATCCATTGGGTCCACTACTTCAATTGTTTATCTCCGAGGCTCTCGATCCTGCATTAGCCGCACAGTATATGAAAGATAGGTTGCAGCGTGGTGAGGCTTCTTCATTAGTGGATGATTGGTCTTATATCATCGAGTCCAGTAAGTTCATTCCTTCGGTTTGTTCTGCCACCGGTCTGACAGCCATAGTTACCAAAAATGGTCGTGCTCCACCAGAGCCTAATGATACCGAAAAGCATGCTATCGCAAGACGAGATGGCGGAAAGTGTTGCGTGACTGGGAAAGTTGGCACGTTGCGTGATCCCCTTATCGTCGCGCCGATTCTCTTGATTCCGTCTGGGTGGACTGCAGACAAGGTATATCTACCACTCTTGAAGCTAGCTACCACGATGGAAATGCTAACGATCTATCTTGACAGGCCGGCATCTTCGACATGCTTGGTGCTTTCTTTGGACCGCCTTACCGGGATTGGTGGATATCCTATGTAAGAGATCCCGTATCACCTTATTATAACCACTGGCTAGTCCGAAAGTCCGCAGCCAAAGCATTTGCTTCGGGACTTGTCAGGTTAAACAGGTTGTACCCATCCATGATTGAGGTGAGTTGCGACTGGTGACTCCCACTTATACTTTCGTTTAACAGTTTGCAACAGTATGAAGTCGAACAAGTCCCTATTGGACCAGAGGACCTAATCGAGGTCGATGGCACACGTCCATTATTGGGTGACCATTCACGATCGGGCATCATCAAGGCTGACCCCCGCTTCGTCGGCTCCCAGGCTCGACTATGCAAAAGCATTCAATATCTCGATCTCCACAAAAGACTTTCATTGGAAACCCTACCTCAACCCGGTCTTTCGGTAATGCGCTCAAACATAACGCTGCAAAATCGTTGGTGTCTTTTCAGTGTGTTCGTGGCCTCTTTCTTCACGGTCTGGCGCCTAGTCCCCTCAAAAATCAGAATATTTTGTTATAGGGTATTGCAAAAGCTTGGAGAACGTTTATACGGGCGATCCAATGATTACGCCCCCGTCCAGAGATTGCCTTTCGGGTTGTACTTGAAGTGGAATACAGAAGTTGACTGCTCCCGCAACGAGTTCAATGCGCTGAAGGTGGTCCGCCAACATACCTTAATCCCGGCCCCAAAAGCACTTGACATGGTTGATGAGCAAGCAAATATAAATGACCCGTCCTCCTGGCCTACATCTTATCTCCTCATGACGAGAGTCCCTGGTTTTCCGTTATCACGCTGTGAAAAGGTTCTCTCGGAAAGAGATATAGAACGAATTGTAATTCAGCTCAAGGACTATGTATCCCAGCTAAGAGATATTCCCCAGTCGACCAACTCAGACAAGGCCATATGCAACACTCTGGGCGAAGCGTGCAGGGATCCCCGCATTAATGGTGCGGCCCCTGTTGGTCCTTTTGAGGACGAGGCAGCATTCAGTCAGATGCTAAGATTCTCAGACGACCCTGCTCGCCGTGGCAATAAAATTGTGTTCACGCATGTGGATCTTAACCCGCGTAACATCTTGGTTGACCAGAGTCTACAATTAGATGGAAGCATCAGCTGGAGCGTGACGGGGATCGTAGATTGGGAATTTGCGGGGTATTACCCCGAGTACTGGGATTACACAAAAGCAATGTTCGAGGGATTTAGATGGACGCGACGATACAAGGACATGATTTATAAAGTGTTTGCCGAGTTTGGAAACTATTTACCTCAACTCTACGTTGAGAAGATGAGCTGGGAGAGCGGGGATGGGGTCTAGAGTCTAGGTAGATTAATGAAAACCAAAACATTTTGCATACAATATCTAGGTACCTACCTATTATTTGGGGGGGTATATAACCTGCCTTGGTAGCGTCCGGTGTTGGCGACTGCCAATGAATCTCGACCCTACATTTCCCTAGTCTTTAACTACATAATAAGTCTTTAACAGGTATCTAACCTACCAGGCAGGCAAACTAGGTGCACGTATATATCAAAATATTCAGTCTAACTAGGTACTCTCTCGTCCTTCTTTTTCATAATGACAGCCATAAATATACCCTTCATAACTGTAGCGCCTTCGAAGCCGCATACCCACACCGTCGTATTTCTACACGGCCGCGGCGACAACCCGCGCAACTTTGCAGCCTCACTAGCTCACTCTCGCGACTCGCGCGGTCGCACTCTTGCAGACGCATTTCCGCCATTTCGTTGGGTATTTCCCCAAGCCCCGACACGTAAGTGCGCCAGCTCGCCTGAGACGTGGCCGCAATGGTTCGACGTGTGGGATGTGCGCGATTTTGCGGCGAACGAGGACCTACAGGCCGTCGGGCTTAAAGAAGTAGTGCCCGCTATCCGCCGCATCCTTGCCGATGAGGCCGCTTTGCTTGGGGGCCGCTGGGATCGCGTGGTGTTGGCGGGCATTAGCATGGGCGGTGCGACGAGCGCGCATGTCCTGTTCAACCTGGATGTGCCCCCGGCAGGGGGAGGGAGGCTCGGGGCCTTTGTTGGATTCTCGTGCCGATGCCCGTTTGCCGGTCGTAGCTTAGCCGGCATTAGAAACGCTCTCGGTTTGGAAAGTGTCCCGGACCACGGCTATGTCATACAAAACACGCCTGTGTTGCTCGAGCACTGCGTCGATGACCCGCTCGTCCTGGTTCAGAATGGCCGAGGCTTGCGAGATACATTACTTGGATTTGGTGCACAGGTTGAATGGAAAGAATATCCCAACGGAGGACACTGGTTCCATTCGCCGACTGGGATGGACGATGTGGTGGAGTTTCTAAACAGGCACCTTGGGAAGGACAGCTTTGCAGGCAACCCTACACTTTTACGCCAAGCCTCATCGAACGCGATGGATCTATCATAAGAGAAACCAAGCTTCGGGGAGGAACCTAGTCATAACCATAGAGTATAATTTACGGCAGTGCTCATATTACGAAGTAATAGAAACTGCAATACGGATTTCATTACAATATCCTACAAGTAAAACACAGAAAAACAAGCCATAGCGTGGCTATACACGAAGAAATAAATACGGCTATGTCAGCTTTAAGAGGTACTCATCCACAACTTCCAATCTTTACTACGTACACTTATTGCCAACATAGATCACAATATTAAAAAGAGTTTTTTCCAATAAATATTTTTATTATTAAAGCCTATTAGGGGAGAGCTACCTTCGGAACCTGGCTCCTGGATTGCACTTTCCTGGGGGGAACTGTCAGGGTATAAGTGGGTTAGGGGTAGCTACAGGGGTCTATCTACTATATAAGGGGCGCGCAGCGCCCTCGTAAGAGGATAGAATGCCAGGCGTTACTAGTTCAATACTATCTACTACCTGATCTACCTATCATAGGCACTCACTCTGTGTATGACATCTATCAAAGGGTATAAATCCTGACAGGAACTGTACCTTGTGCCATGGAATCTAGGATCAAAACACCCTCCTCCACCTGCTTCAACTACGTTGTATTTTCATATCTTGTTTGTATTACTTACTAGAGGGTTCATTGCTCCCCATGAAGGTGTCCCCGCCGGTACCGGACGCCTTGTAAGGACTCTTCTCCTCCTCCTCCTTGGGGTGATTGGAGGATGTAACTCTTTGGCTGCGGGCATTGAACATAGCCACGCGGTTTTCGTGCAATCTGCGAACCGTATTGTATACCTTGTCTTCCTGGTAGACCTTGTCTTCTTGAGAAACCTCGTTTTCCTGGGGAACCTTGTCCTCCTGGGAGGGCCCAGACATGTCGTTATTCATAGTTCCTAAGGGGTTTATGACGGTTGAAGATGAGGTTATAATCACTGCTAGACTCTAATATAAATCTAGCCGTTACGATTCGATGATTGCTAAAGTGGTGTGATGCTAGAGTAGACTCTTATCTATCAATTTTAATATAGGTCCTCGACACGATTTAATAGTGAACTCATTTCTTATAATTCATTGCCTGATTAACAAAGAGTGAGATTAATACACCAAAAACGCATTATACTTGACCTTGAATCCGGGTTTGAAAAAAAAGGTACTCAGTAAACTATATGAAACACTCTTATTATGCTGACTATCATTCCCACGCAATACAAAAGCGTTGAAGAAATGTTAGAAGAGCACGAAACAAAGCCACCGATTGACAATGCAATTGTTCCCAGAGAGAAATATTTCTTTCTTCTACGAAGTGTACCTAGGTATCTTAACTAAGCTATAGGGGCATGGTTTACCTTAGAGGGTTGGTAGGTAGGAATTGGCGAGCTTAAAATCACGTAACATGTATAGATGTTCGGTGCAAGACAGACGAAATGAACTTCGCAGTTGTATAATCGATCTTACATCATAAACCAAGGGATAATATAGTATTTAAGTACTAATTCCATTTTTTTACAAAATGATAATATAGTATTTAAGTACTAATTCCATTTTTTTACAAAATGATAATATCGTCACATAATGCGGATTCTATCTATAAGCCATCCCTATGACCAAAGAATAGCAAAGGCTAATAGGAATGTCCTGCCTACCTATATTATAATGCCCCTTTGAACTGACTCATATTTGTAACTCAGTGGTATCTTCACTCTCACACACTGACATGGCATTAATTCGCATATAGCACGTAAATAGCAACTGCAAGTACCCATTACAACTCCACGTCATCCTCACTACTAGCTGCGAGGCTCTCCTTAGTGCTCTCCTTGAACACTAACCCAGGGTGACCTATGGATAAGCAGTAGAACGACACGACAACGAGCCTACATGGATGTTAGCCTTCCATAATCGAAGAGGCAGAAACATACTTACACTCCTTCCAAGCCAATAAACAAACCTTCCTCCCTAATCAATTCGCCGCTATACCCCTCATGCAGCTCAACAAGGCGATACACGCTTCTCACGACAGTTAAGAGCATGGCAAGGAACATGAATCCAAAGAAGATCTTCAATCGGAGGCCGATGATAGCAACTGCCTTGCGTCCTTGTGGGGATCGAAAATACCGAATGATGAAGTCGAGAAGGAAACTGCAGAAAGTGACAATAGTTGCGACTTGGAAAGCTAGGCCTGCGAGAGCAAGGTCGGTTCCAACGTGGTTTGATCCACTGGACGTGCTTGATAAAGCCCCTCCAGCGGCTTGCAATGCAAGGGATATGATGTCGCAAGTAACAAATCCAAAATAGAAGAAAATTGGCTTTACACGACTAAGAGATGGTGCAAAGTATGTGATACTGTGTGACGGAGGTTCAAGTTAGTTACCCAAGTTGACCATATAGGAGACTCAAGGCTAACTTACGTTTGGCCGAGGATCACGTAGGTAGCAGCACAATACCACTGTAATAAGAGTCAATAGCTGCATTTTTAATGAACAATTCAAGAGACCAGGCATGTCTCGGGAGCGATGATTCCTCGATAAGCTTAACAAGAAAATACTAGCTCCGGAATCAAGCCAAATAGAACGGAGAAAAAGAACCAACGGTGTTACATACCACAGGCCCAATCGTGATGCAAACTATTGCGAGGTTTAGCATGAGATTACTAGAAAGGAATGAGGACACTAGGTCCACTTACTCATCTGCATCAGGAACGCATTGAAACTAAATGGTTCATAGTATAGCCAGACACGACCGCCATACCCGATGCAGGCGTTGATAGAACAGACGATCATACAGCCCATGAACCACCATGTCTTCCGTCTGAAGCCAAAGATTGCGTGTATAATTCCCCCAAGGCCGAAGAGGGCTATAAAGGTAATGTTAGCGGCCAGAGAAGGCCGGTATCCGTAAACAGTCCATTCGATCGGACAGGTATCTAGCGTGCAGGTAGCATCGGGTCCGAAGGTGATGACACCAGGAGGTAGAGACCCAGACATTTTAAATAGAGGACTAAGGCCTATGATAATAGGGGGTCAAAGGACAGAAAAAATGTGTTGAGATGAAAATAAACCTGATGAATGAGAATACTAGATTAATATCGGAAAAGGAGTAATTATTGTTCAGTATAGTTACACCGGAACATTTGTTATCAAACGAGAGTACAGTAGTCTACATTTATAAGATCTTCCACTCCGTTGCCATCGCCTCAACTATTTGAATGCACGAGCCGGAAGTCAATTCCACCGACTATATCATATCAACTACAGCTCGAAACCTACTACGCCGTCGCGTAGATTTTAGTGACATAAGCCGCCATCTACAATCATCCTACGATTCCACTGGGGAAGAACAGGCAGTCTTGTATGTTTCCTTGTTTCGGTGGAGCGTTATTATCAAAGCGGCTGCTATTGGAAGGCCGCGTAGAAATTTGGCGCCATCTTGGGGCTGTGCGCGCGTCTGCTGTTGACTCGGACTCGCACACTTGCGTAACTGAAGCTCGCACTCGGTAGGCGCAGTTGGACGGATGCGATTGGCCGCCTCACGCTTGGCCGCCGGGATTATAAACGTGGCGGCCTTGTTATTAGAACCCGGTAGTTGCTTTTGACTTGCACCTTTTCGGGAGAGATGCATTATGGCGACAAGTAGCTGTCTGAAAAATAAATCCATCTCTAACTTAACAGACAACGTCAACTTTTAGAAAGATCCAAATACACGACCAAACCTATGTTCAACCTGCTCTTAATCTGCTCTAGGTATAGGCGAATCGCTTACCCATACCTGCTTACCTAGTTGCTTCTCGCCCCAATCGAAGAGATTATTTATAGGTAGTTTAGTGGCGACGATATTTCTTTATAGTGTGTATCTTGTCGCATACATAATGAAAGCTAAGTGACTAAATAAGATAACACTCATGAACGGGAAGGATGGTCATGAAAGTTATGTAATGACTTAAGCGAGACCGAATCGGGATCTGGGTCGAAATTGGGACATACAGCATTTGCATATCAACTAATATAATACATAAGGGAGACGAGAAACATTCTAAGTTTTAGACTTTAATATAACTACAGTATCTACTATCCCCCAGCGGCGAGAGAAACCAGCATCTCGTAGAAGTCTATGGCCAAGAGAATGGTTGACAACACTCGCCTTCCCCGAGCAAAAATCTACCGAAGCAGGTTTAAACAGGTCCCCTTCACCTATTATGTGTACTGTAGGAATCCGTATCTTGCTTTTAACCATACCGGTACTATATCGGCGAAGAATTCCAATCTTAGATGAGGATTCGTCGACGGGGGCGGAGAATTGGACCGATTCCACGAACCCTTCAAGATAGCTTAATTCAATCTCGACAATGTCAGAATCAGGAAAAGTAATATCTTTATGACTCTCAGTATTTAGGTCGTTCTCGAGATCGAACGGTAGGATTGAAGAGATGACCACGGCTATTCGAAATAGATCCGGGGGGGTTCGGCTCTGTCTCTTGGCGACTAAGGAGCAAAGATGCGGCCAAAGCAGCACCTTGAGAGAACCCGATGACGCCATTGAAGGGGACCCTCATCTTCTATGACTTGGCATATATAGTCAAAAGCGGCTTAAAGATCATTCGGCGTCGGCATACCGTGATAACAGTAGAAAGGCGGCTGGAAGATGCCCTCAATCCCTTCCGCAGCTTTGCACTGCACCAAACCGTCGACGTAGACGAACTTGTGCGAAGGGTCGATATTCACAATAATGGGAGCTAATTGGAACTCGAGCACGGTCGAATTAGTTCCCATTCCATACAAACAGAGGAATTTCATATTGAATTGGTAGACTTGAGGGGCGGGTTGAGTACATGAGAAACGTCTTGGAAAGTGCCTAGGTAGTAAAGGAGTCCGAAGTAGTAAGACAAAGTTAACGAAAGGCATTTTATTACCATAACTTATATATGGTCGTAATTGTATTAGATACCTCCTACCATTTAGTAAATGCATAAAAACTACCGTGTTCTTAAATGCCTACCTATATACTACCTAGTTGCGTCAATGCCAAAGATCCGTAGGTGTCTAGAGGTACCTAACCTGGCCTAAATATAAGATCTAAGTCCTGTATAGCATATAGTGATACAGTATTGTCATGGCTTTAGGAGTCGAAGCTGCCTAACGGCACCTCTAAAGGCCGCGTCTTTGTAAATTTAAATGTAAGATGGTTGGCAATTGTTAGCTCAATATCGTTGCTATCCCGTATACAATGTTCGTCAAGAAGGGGCCAGAAGATTTACTCATGTAGATATATAAGTTAGTGAGGGTTACTATGGTCAGGTACTAACCAACGTCGCTTTCGCATCCCAGGGCATATTGCTAGTGTCTTGGTATAGCAGTAGTTAAACTTAGTGTGTAGGTACACAAGTACAGATCCCCATCCCTGGATTTGACGGCGATGATGATATAAACACAACAAGTAGAGTGGCATACGCAGCCGTTGAGGCGAATATCTCTGCCATTCGTGCATTCGTCAAGACTCCAACACTGGCTGCAAAGAGCACCGTGAACATGGCAATGACACCCAGCTGTGCGTTCTTTTGAGTTAGAAGACTCAGAAGTACTATAGCTCCAAGCAGGAGGCTGCCACGACAGTGCTAATTGTGGCTGTTGCCCAAGCAACATGATTCTCATTGATATGCTCGGCCCCATCAGTGATTTCTGTCGTCTCTAGCTGTTAGCATATTACATAAATAGGAGTCGTGTTAGTGGCACCTTAAACATCCAATGATCTTGTAAGAATCGTGAGAGGAGATCCTTATCAGGCGTCCGTCTAAGAGCGGCAAGATCTCGATGATTATGTTCGGAAAGCCGTTTCTCGGAGAGGCCCGCTAGGATGGGCCGTCGACTAGACTTGTTCCCGAAAGAGTCATATACATTTATATAAGACTGATCGCATACAACATCTAAAGCCCGTTTCCTGGGTCCTTCGAGCGCCGCTATTTGGTTTTGACGCAGCAATGCTTCTTCTATCGTTGACTATCAGCTGATATAACTCACACTGTGAAGTTCATCTCACGATATTCTCTCAGCGTTTTACTAGGTAACTTCCTCTACTATCTTCATCCAAGCATGCCCTGGACGATCTTTATCCTTTGCATTCTCCTCGAAGGCCTCCCAGGCTCGGATAGAACGGCGTGTTTCATTATCTAGTCCATGTTCAGCTTGCCTATCCGCTTGGTCTAGTTTATACTCGAGATACCCAAGTCTGCTCTCTAGGTGGAGGAGATTTCGTGCGCTGAGCTGGTCAAATTTGCGGAATATAAAAGCCTCATAGTCTGGACCGAGGGCAATACGTTGGGCTAAAAGGGGGATTCCTATCCTGTCCGTCATACTTGCGATATTCACCCGTACTAGTTCGGGTACTCTATCCACCATGATTCTGTTGCAATAATCTAACATGAGCGCTGCCTGGGCAATAAATTGATAATTTACACTTTGTACAATTAACCCAGTGTTAAACATGCCTATTATAGAGTCGGGGTCTAGCCTAGCGAATTTCGTTGATGTAAGGCCGCTCGCAAGGCATATTTCAACTCTTACCCCTTTACCCCTCCCTATCCCTATTTTCTTCACGCGGTAGTCTGTTCCCTGAAAATTCAATCTTTTCGCCAACCATTAACTATCCTAATCTGCTCCCAGAGGTTGTTGCAAGACATTATCCCTGTTGTTATTTAGAGCGATAAGTACTAGCACCTGCTGCTCAGGATTTATTAGCGGAAATGTACGATCTATTCGATAATGATAGCGATTTTACGAACAGGATCGCTTGGCTCAAGCTCGACGAGCCCGACTGGTTGGGCCAGTTAGAAAGATGGCAGGACGATAAAGATACCATGTTATATATCAATGTCATAGGGAAAAACTTTTTAGTTGGGATAGTGGGCAAAAGTGCTTCCATCATCATGCTACCAATCGCCTGGCAGCAAAGTAAGCCCAGGATTAACAGTATGATGTGTTACGAAGTCCCAGGAACAATTAACGATATTGCTGTCAATGCGCTTCTATACTGGGGTTATACAGTAGATGCTGTTTCTGAGAGTTTCGCAAGGCGGCATAATTTAGTGATCAAACCTGCCTATACACAACCAATCCGCTCAACGGCTCTACTATCCGTACAGACGGGATGGTTTTCGATGCAGAGCTACAGTTCGACGCATTGCCAGCATCAGAATGGCTGGACTCTAATGAATACCTTGAATACCTCCTCGGTTAATAATGGCTACCTGTTATCTGCAACATATATTATTAGGAGAGAATAGGGACACCCTAGAGGTGGCCGCCAAGCAGCAGGTCTGCATATTCTTAGGTAGGATATGGATTTTATAGAGTTACTATTATATCTTAATACTATAAGCTGCCTGTTGTCCCCTCACTCTACGCACCATTATATAATAGGAGGGAATCCCCTAGCTTGACCGCTTCACTATCCCCTTTAAAGACTCCTAACACTGTGTGAATTACCACTTGACAACCAAAAACAAGGCTTTCGAGTGTTGGGTCGAATTGCGTAGGGTTTGCAGCTAATTAACTAACCTAGCTGGTCAAGGGATATCCTGTCTTGTTGCTTTTGTAAACGGCTACATCTACGTCATTGATGTTGATGCAGGCTAGTAAATGTCGAGTCTAATCTGTCGAGTCTCACGGAAAACGGCAAACTCAATGACCATGCTGGTGCTGGGCTCAAGACTTGATTTCTTCACAGTACACTACATATGCCCATCCTTTATAAGCAAGTCACAGCAACAATGATCTACACGTGGGCCGTTGTTGCGCATCCCTTTGCCGGCGCATGTGTATGGTAAATACCTGTATCAGATGCATCTATGCATTTTCGTAGGGTCAGACAGAAGGCGTCTAGACTCTATAAATTTAAGTCGTGACTAGAAGATAAAGACATTTTCATGTAGTACAGTCGCATTATTCTTCCGCGTGACGTTCCGAAGTAGGTTGAGTGGAAAGTCAAGTTCTTGACGAATAAATCGACACATGTGGGTTTCTTATTGGACTTGGTGGTGGCGTAATGTGGCTATCATCGGTGACTATCACTGCTTTATCAGTCCGATACTAGTCCCTGCCCAGACTGCGTTCTGTTAGTGTTAGGCCCCTAATGCGGTTCTAAGGCACGAAACCATGCTGTTATGCAGGGGCTTAGGAGGGGCTTAGGAGGGACTAAAAATAGAGGACCGATCAGTTATACATCTGTTTCTAATACAGTTTCTATGTGTGGCACAGGTACCAGCTAACAGACATCTGCGACTCCGAATTCCAAACTAGGAGGTACCTAAGCCCCGCCGATGGCCGCATGTACATATTTGCATGTATTCGCATGTATTCGGACTCCTTCTTTCGGCTTTCCACACAACATGATTAACCCATTACCATCAACTAGCCACAACAGCTGGACTATGTACTAGTTGTCTTTCTAAATAGTCTCACATAATATGGGGGGTCAATTGATGGTGTTTCCTTTTACTTATTAACATACTTTTGCCTCTCATTTCTCTTCTAACTGCCGACCTTCATTCGAATCACTGTCGTTTTTGACTCAAGTACGCGCGCTCTTGTCTTCGGTATCTTCGGTCATACCGCTTTCTTTCATTTACCATCTACTTGACCGTTGATCGTTGACCACCGACTACCTACCACCTCATCTTCCGTCGACGTGCTATGCGCATCGGCGACGTTTTCCCTTCTCGATGTACCACCTCCGCCGAATAACCATCGCTGCCGTCGTGCTTGCTGTCGTCATCGTAGTTGTCACCGTACTACCTCGAGCTCTCAATCCCGTTCCACCAAACAAGGAAAAGCAAGAGGCTGACCGACAGTGGATCAATACATCTCCATATTGGCTTGATCGTCAGGCCTGTCGTTGGTTTAGCCTCTGTGGTCTGCTGCACCTCAGGAAAGATCCTCCAGCGAAGCCGAAGAATAAAGACGATGGTCATCGTCATGAACTAAGGCGTCTCCTGGGAGAGGAAGGGGTTGCCATATTAAGAGAGGAGAGTGACAATAAGAAAAAGGGGCAGCTGAAGGGGATACCAGACTATGTGCTGAACTATGCACCCCTGGTTCATCTCTATTCGCAGGAATTTTTCTGGCCCTCCGACATTGCTGACCACATCAAACATGTGGTACCGGACCTAGACGAAGACAAATGGACATTCAACAAGTCACAGCCCCTCACTTTAGCCAACTTGAACGAGTTGAGCTCCGAGCTAGGATTCCAGCACCTTAACAGCAAGGATGATGTAGAGTCACGCCCGCGCTGGCTTCACAGCAAGATGAATAGGCCGATCGCTTTTAACGACGAGGATGACGATAAAGAGCATGACGACGACGAGGAGCCTGGTAAACAGCTTAGCGACGATACGACGTGGTTCGATGTAGATCGCGATCATCCCTTACACCGAATATCAGACCCACGGAAGCTTCCTGCTGGCACACCACAGTCGCAACGGCTGGCAAGGCGGTCTCAAGTCTTTCATTCTCGTGAACAGCAGAGGCTCATGTCTCAAGAAGCACAGGACGCGCAGAATGCGCAGAATGCGCAGAATAAACCTGATGAGTCGGGATACTCTCGTGCGCCTGTTACTCTCGTTTTGGTAGACAAAGGATCCGGTATCGTGGATGCTTTCTGGTTTTTCTTTTACGCCTATAACCTCGGTCAGACGGTCCTAGGTACACGATACGGGAACCATGTCGGTGATTGGGAGCATTGCATGATCCGCTTTGAGTCCGGTGTTCCCCGCGCGGTTTTCTTTAGCGAGCACGAAGGCGGTCAAGCCTACGCCTGGCACGCTGTTGAGAAGCGAGGAAACGAGACTGAGATACAAAGACCAGTCATATATAGCGCCGTTGGGTCGCATGCTATGTATGCCACGCCTGGAAATCACCCATACGTTTTACCCTTCGGGATCCTCAAAGACGTCACGGATAAAGGCCCACTATGGGATCCTTCCAAGAATCTCAGAGGTTATTGGTATGACTATACCACTACTAAAGATAATGAGGGACTAGAACCAGTGAAGGAAAACGCTGATGAGCCGACGAGTTGGTTTCATTATAGAGGAACTTGGGGCGACAAGTTGTACGGTCTCAATGATAAACGGCAGTGGAGACTATTCGGCCAGTACCACTACGTGACAGGTCCCCAAGGGCCCAAATTCAAGAATCTCGGCAGAGAGAAAGTATGTCAAACATGGAGGTGCCGGATTATACATAGCATTGCAGAGGGAAGGAAGGGAAGTTGGCATTCATAAAGGACGAAGGGTTATACCATAGAGAAGGGCACATCAGGCGTTACCGGCTTAGATACCTCAGCGGTAGTTGGGCTTTTTTTTTTTTTTATGCTTTCTGTTGCTTTGAAATATAACGATTCATATACAGACGAGATTTCCCAGATACCTGGTTCGTGGAAATGAGACTTGGCCGCCAAATTGTAGGGTAGTTGCATTCGATGCTAGGCTCTTCAGCTCTGCGTCTTCCCGCCCAATGGCGCTTCGTAGACTCGTTCAGCTGCTCATGTACATGCAAATGCAATCGTACCATGCCGATCGGATCGGGTGGTGTCGCGTAGAAGTTACGCTTGTTCGTAGCGATCCACTCACCGTTGCTTGGACTCGAGGGCCTCGGCGTGTTTTCCCTTGTGTTCGTACACCACATACGGCGTCCCGCAGAGGAGCAAGGGGGTCCACCGACCCCCCTTCCTTGGGGAATTCATCTCCTCCTTCTCCGCATCACGACCCCGGATTTTCCTAGGGGGGCCCCCTTGGCGAAGTCACGGTCCCTGATTGGCGCGCATGGAGCTTCGTTCGGGGTACGGTGCGCTGGAGAATTCCCTCCAGTAAGGAAATCCCCCAGAGCCCCGGAACGGGGAACCGTCGTCTCCTTCGAGTATCAAGCTCTGGGGTCTGGTTCTCCACGGTGGGCCCATGGGTTGGGATTTGGAGGGAGGTACATATGTATAGGGGTATATAAGTATGTCGGCGTCTTGTGGCCGAGATGGGCGCGTGCTTGTTCACTGAGTTGATGCTTGTTGTTTGTTGATTCTGGTTCCTCGTTTTGTAAGTGGAGGACGGTTAGACAGATATAGAATATCCAGGACGACTGTATGCGGTTATTGCTACGATGAAGCCTCATACTTACCAGGTACGTGTATTAGCGAGTCTAATTGGCACGATAGAAGTCATAACTAACTCCCTCGTGCCAAATAGTTCCTCGTCGGCGTCTTCGCCTCGATGGGCTCGGTGCTCTTCGGTTACGATCTCGGTGTCATCGCGGGTGTAGTAGGGAGTACATCGTACGCCGAACTATTCCAATCAAACGCAGCT